ATTTTTTTTTTTTTTTTTTTTTTTTTTTTGTAGTACAAAAGAAAATGACAGCATTAATAGTCAAGCCATACTGTGTTTTTGCTTTACAGCTACAAGCCTCCCAACACAGAAACTAACCCCACATTGGAAGATCCTACACCGGATTACATGAACTTGCTCGGCATGGTCTTCAGTATGTGTGGCCTGATGCTCAAGGTGACTTGACCCTCATCTACATAAACACCTGTGTTTACAGCTAACATTGATGCTTACTTAATGATTGTCATTGTTTATGTCTAAAACATGAGCAGATTGATGCTCAGCTATGATTTAACGTTCAAACTGTTGTGTATTTGTGTTTTTGGCAGCTTAAATGGTGCGCATGGATTGCTGTGTATTGTTCGTTCATCAGTTTTGCCAATTCACGAAGCTCAGAGGACACCAAACAAATGATGAGCAGCTTCATGTGAGTTGCTTATGCTTGTTTGTTATTCTCCTACTGAATACAAATGTTGGATGATTCCATTATTATTGAATCTTTTATAGAAGTACTAAAATGTAATCTACCTAAAGAAATCCTTCAAATGTAATGCTTCTGGACTGCCAAATTAAACATGCGTTCATTCCTTCAGGCTGTCCATATCGGCAGTCGTGATGTCTTATTTGCAGAACCCACAGCCCATGTCGCCACCGTGGTAACAAATAATCCAAACCCAGTAAGCCATCTCAGCAGGGATGGCATGAAAACCAGTTGATCCACCCACAGTCCTGGAACGCAGGGACGTACACTCATCAGCCCAGCTGGCCAATCAGAGGCTGACAAATTGACAGATGTAGCTCCTGTACGATCGTTTCAAGTTTTCTCTGTGCTCACCGGTTGTTTTTATGTATGTTATCACACTATGCTAAAATATTCATATGCTGTGAATGATTTTGAGAAATAAATGAGCGATTTTGTGCACTGCTTCAAACATTTCTTTGTGGCTGTAATTTTCATATATACACAAGTAATTAGTGCTAATTAGGACACTTTGAAGTGCAAAACTAGAGATTGATGTTAATGTATTCATCCTGCTGCTGCTGCTTCTGACTAAATGTGCGGATGGAAGTTTAAAAAAGCCTTTTATTCTGAAAGATTTAGTTTTTCTGAGAAGATACTGCTGCAAACTGATAAACAGTACTGTACAGGCATGCCAGATGTGTTCCTCTCAGTGTGTCCAAGATGGATTCTGCACAGGCCTGGAGGATTTAAGGAACAACTGGCAACTCAGCTGTTTTTTTTGGAAGTAATATTTTTCTTATTAATAGGAGCAATGTGGGG